AGCAAAGTAGTGATTAAAGAAATTACAAATAGTAAACCCTTAAATAGTATCTATGAACTCTTTAAAACTAAGAACTAAAATCTGATTAAACAGATAAAAGAGTGTTGCAAAGCAAAAAATATTAAATTAAAGCTTATAAAGATTAAGAGATATAGTAGAAATATCTGGAATAACAAAGCAGACAAGCTTACAAAACTAGGTCTAGGCTTATATAAACTAGTTAAACCAAAAGATATAGTTACTGATGAGATTAAAGTTCTACTCAAATAGAAAAACAATTTAGTAGACTATTCAATCAGATCCTTTATAAATATTAGTATAACAATAATATACAAAATAGAATAGACAAAGCTAAGTAGTACAAATAATATAATGTGTTTAAGTTCAGAAGTAAACTCAGATGAAACTTTAAACTAGATGAGTATATAGGATGTATTAAAGAACTATCAGAGCAGAAGATATATAAGCCTCAAAAAAAGCAAAGCTTTAATATTTAGAATAAAATATCTAAACAAACTACTACCAATATGAGATATTTGCTATCAAAGAAGATTCAAGTTATATAAAAGCAAAACTTGTATAGCCTGTTATAAGACAGAAGAAATATTTAACTATCTAGCTATATACAAAGTATACTAAGAGATTTGAAAATATACAGAAGAAATTATAATAGAGGAACTTAAACATAAAATATTTAAAAAATAGAATATAACAGTCTCAAGCCCAAGTTTAATAAATATACTACTAGGTATAGACTTAGAAGAAAAGCTTAAGATAAGAAAACTACATTTTCAAGGCTTTATAAGTAGAAAGTAGAACAAAGAAATAAAAACTTTGCTTAAGTCTAGATCTAAATCTACTCAAGCAATTTGTTAGTTTATTAACATATTTTGAACAAACCTGTATGAAAAACTATAGAAATTCTACTATGAAATGATAACAAATTAGAAGAAAGAGAATAGAATTAACATGCAGAAAAAGAAAGGAAAAGAAAGAAAACAAGAAAAACTTGATACTTCAAACAAAGAAATATAATATTCAAAGATTCTCAGAAAAAGGAAACAATATTTGAAAAACAAAAAAAGATATTAATGAAGTCAAATAACCAAATCTCAAGATAGATCAGAGGTGCAGATTATAAAAGATAGTTAAAGTTTAAAACTAATTAGGTATTCTTGATAAGAGCTAGTAGTAGTCTTCTATTGATCAAGACTAAGTAGACATATCTATAACAGGTCTTTAGTCTTAGAAGAAAAAATGCTACTACAGCAAATCACATTTAGGCATTAACTAGATAGCTGAATGAGTCTAGAATTGCAATAAAGAGAGCAGTCTTAATATTAGAATAGTTAGTCTTTTTTAGTCTTATGTAATTGTCTAAATACTTTTTAGTATTTCTCTTAATAAAATAAAAAGCAAGATTACCTAAGTAAAAAAAAAAAAAAAAAAAAAAAAAAAAAAAAAAAATTATCAATTATAAACTTTTTTATGGTTTACTACAATTTAATATATTTTACCAAAAAGTTTTTTATTACTAATATAAACTTCAATTTATATACATATAGAGTTTTTGACAAGATATTCTTTAGTAGTTATTATAATTATTATAAAAAATTTAATAGAATTTAATATAAAAAATTTCTAAATAATTTTTTTATATGAAAAAAATTTTGATAATTTAAAAAAAAAAAAAAATACTAAAATTTTAGATTACACTGCAGATCTGAAATTTAATTGGTGACTAGTGATTATAAAATAAAATTTAGAGTTAGAATATTAGCTTTAAAAAAATTATATAAATATTTTAGCAAAGAAATATATGTAAAATTTTATTTTTTAGGACGATTTTAACGCTCACCGGTGGTGAAATTCACCGGTTATATGATTAACCAATAAAATCGCAGGATCTTGTATAACGATTATAAAGAAATTTTAAAGAAAAAAAAATAATAATCGTTAATATTTTAAAATTTTATTATGAAAACTTGTATCATGTCACTAAGTAAAAGTTTTCAGCGCTTAATTTTACATATGATAAGCACTCTAACCCTAATATAAACCTCACCCTAACCCTAAAGCTAAAAAAAAAATGAGTTGTTTATTAAGAAATAATTAAGCAGAAATATATACTGGTGAATTTCACCTCTGGTTACTTTTAAATAAATCCTTATTTTTATCATTTTTTATTAGTGCTCTAAAGTTGATTTAAACATCAGTTTTTGAGAATTTTCATTTTTTTTCACTTTTTTTATTCTTTCGCACATGTTCGAATTTTTTGTTGGGCTGATCTGAAAGCAATCATTATTTCTAAATTTCGGTGACTTTTTTTTAAAATTTATTAGTCAATTACAGAGATCTTCACCTATGCTGAATTCCGACTTACATCAGATCCGTCGAGACGACCATCTTTTTTTATTGCAATGAAGAACTTACTTGATTGGCTAAATTATTTTTCACTAATTAAAAACTGATCTAGGCGCTTGAGAACACCCTAAACTTTCTCCTTTTTGTTCAAATTAATTTTTGGGCTAAGTGTATGCGAATCGTTCGGTTATGAAAATCTTGGATCAAAACTTAGAAACCTACACATGGATCATACGATTACACACAAATACGAATAGATATACCTAAAAAAGCTCAAAATATACACTAGTTTAAACTAAAATAGGTAAGCTTAAAAATGCTTAAATTTACAAAAACAAATTATTTGGAGTATACAAAATTTGTACGCTAGACGGTTTTTAGAGATAAATATTTGAGCAAGGGTCATTTGTTCGTTACTTGTCGAATACACATGTACTGTACGTCAGGGATAAAAAAAAAAAATTAAAAATACTTTTTTTTATGTTTGCCAAGTTTGTCTGATTTGACGTTACTTTTACATTAAAAATTGATGATGTTGACCAAGTCAATATAATATTATTTTTAGAATAATTATACAAGAAAATTTATTTTTCATAATGCGGGCATACGTAGCGTACTCACAACAGATAGATACCAAAATTTAATGTATGTAAATAAAGGATTTATTTATGTTATACCGTAATATTTTTTTTTTTTTTTTTTTTTTTTTTTTTACATGCAGTTTTTTTTCCCATGACAAAGAATGATGCAGGTGAAATAATACAGAAAGTTGCATGGTTGTTATTGTAACAAGATATACTGTATATCTGAAAAACAAAACCCGAGGAATACACAACTAAATTAATATTAAAAATTTTACTTTATTTTTATACGTATTTAGGCGTTAGAATTAATTAACTTTATATAATTGGTTATTTATTAACTAAATATAGATTTAATTACTTTTTTATCATTGAATTTCTTTATGAACCAATATATTGATTTAAAAAATTATAAATTTTCATCATGCTTGTTTCATAATTTTTTGTCATCATTTTGAATGGATTTGTCAACACCACGTTATATAAATTTTCGTATGGATAATCAGATGTGAAAATGAAAAGCATGATTTATTATAATTTATTCACCGGAGTTACATTAACGATATTAATTTACAAGTGGTTAGGGAGGCTTATTTAATTCTATATGCATTAATAACTGGTTTCTGAATCGTTCACAATCGTGTTCTAATCAGGATTAGAATTGTTGTGATGGTTGAATCAAAACCAAATTTTTGAAATTAATAGATGTAAAATACATCATCATGAAGAGCTCCTGCTTACAGCAACAATCACTTGACATAATTGTTTATATTTTAAGTAACCAATCAGATTGCAATTTAAAACCCTCTAAGGTCAGGTAATTGATACATTAAATGAGTGAATGTATGCTAATGATTTGGTGCATTAGTTTGAATCAGGGTTCAAATGTATAATAGTAAAAGAAAAATATGAATAATGTAAGAATATGAGAATCCTTCCAAATTTTTTGATAATGCATTAATCTGTATGAAATAATTATATTACTAAAATACCGATAATAAATGTGTTACATGATTTACACCACATAAATTTATGCGATCTTTTTATCGACATCGCGTATTTTGCCCCTGATCGAAAAGAAAAAATCAATATTATCATATTATCAAAATTATCATAACGTTAAAAATAATCGAGATTAGATAGAAGATTCAGTTAATTGTTTACTAATTTTTTATGTTTTTTAATTTTTATCAATTTTCATCATCAAAAAAATTATTTTAAATTAAAATTTACAACTGATCTATGTTAAAAAACAACTTGTGAAAATATATGAATAAGTTAAGTGAATATATACTGATATATGCAAACTATGATAATATAAATTTGATATTAAAAATAATACAAAATACTAATGTTTTTTTTTTTCTTTTTTTTTCAATTACTTTCAAGGAGAGAGAGTTACATTAAAAGTCTAATTATTTTCTCAAAAGTAAATTAAAAATAAAAATGACGACTATTTTAGGGGGGGTATGATAATACTATTTCAAATAATATCATCATAATTTACATAATTCTTTGCTCTTTGACAAATTATATTTTTTTTCTTTTTTTTTTTTTTTTTTATATGTAATTTTGTTGTAATATTTTAAAATTAAATTGGCCTATTATTATCGTTAATCCTTTTTATCCCAAAAAAAATAAAGTCAACTACAAGATAATACAGGAAAAAATAATTAAAGAATAAAAAAAATTTGATAGACACATATATAATATTACCCTATCCAAAATAATACACCCAAAAAATATTAAGAACTGAATTATTAACGAAACGGTGAGTGAGAGATGTTTATGTGATTCGGAAGTTAAATGATGTGATGCAAAAAAAGGAGTGTTAATTGTATCGATAGTTGATGTTGTAATTAAATATTAAAATATTAAATGTTCCCATGGATAAGCAGGATAAACCGTTCTTGCGTAATTGCCTTAACCAAGTTCAATTATTGGAGTATAATATTCAGATCTTGATATCTAATACTTGAAAAAAATGAAATCAGTATTTAATATTAAATAATAATAAATTTGATATGATGTTTTTAAGTTAAAGGTGAAACTCACCCTTCGTCCACCACGATTTCCGCCACGGTTTCGTGAAGCACCTCTTCGTTTACTACCTCGTTTCCTAACTGTTACCCAATCACCATTTGCAACAGTTGTAACCACCGTATTAATACCTCCGCTAATTATACCATCATGTATACTACTTGAGTCACTAGCCATTTCATTAAAGAGGTCACTACTCGGTCGCGAATTACATGGAGATTCTGGTGGTGTTGTTATGTTGGCGGTAGAAGTAGGGGTCTCACTGGTAATTTCTTGGGATTTTGGTGTAGCCATTAACGTCACAACCTGGGCTTGTAAACACGCTATTTCTTCTTTCATCAATTCATATTCTGTGGCTTTTTGTTTTAAAAAAAAAATTATAATTAGATTTATTAGGATTTATTTAAATAGTACTTAAAATTTATTTTAAAAAAATAACCACTAACCTTGTGTTTTAGTTTGCTCAAGTTGTTTCCGTAATTTAGCATTATCGGTTTCAAGTTGATATATTTTAGCTTTTTCTTGAACTACAAATAGTTATTTAGTCAATATAGAGGATAGAGTGATTTATGTAATTACATCATTATTTAACATTAAATTTAACATTATTTAATATTATTTAACATTATTTAACATTATTTATAATTATCATAACGATAATTAATTATATAATACTATTATAATATAATAGTATATAATACAATACCTTGTGAATTTGTCAAGTTCTGAATTTGATTAGTTAATTGTTTTATTGTTTTGGCATTTGCCTTTTTCTCTTTTTCATGAGTAGCTTTAATTTTATTTAATTGTTCTTGAGTATCCTCAAGTTCAGATTCAGCACGTTCTTTTTCATTTCGAATATCTTCTTGATAAACTGATATTATTAGAGAAGTGAGACCATCTCTATATGCCATCATATCTATATATTCATCAACTTCTTCTTTGGCAGCTTCTAATTCAGCCGTTGTTCGTTTTAATTTATTGTTCGTGGAAGCAAGATCAGCTTTTGCTGTATCCAATAAAGATTTTATAGAGGATAAATCTGCTTTTGCCCACTCTAATTTTGACTTGGTAAAGGAAAGTTGAGCCTTTGTAGAATCCAGTTGTGATTTAAAAAAGGATAGTTGCGCTTTGGTTGCCTCTAATTCATCAGCATGTTCTTCTTTTGTAGCATGGAGTTCAGCAGCATATTTTGCCCTTATAACACCTATTTCTGCAGTACATTTTGCTTTTGTTGCTTCAAGTTCAGCAGAACACATTGCTTGTGTTGCATCAATTTCAGCATTACATTTTGTTTGAGTAGCTTCAAGTTCATCTCTTGTTGAATGAAGATCCATTCTAGTAGTTTCTAATTCTTGTTTTAGAGAAAGTATTTGATTTGTATGATTTTGTACAAGTTTTTCACGTTCTTTTAATTGTTTTTGTACATCATAAAGAGCAGAATCTCTTTCACTTATTGTAACAGAAAGGTCAGTTTTAGCAGCTTGTAAATCATGAGCACATTCAAGTAAAGAAAAATTTAATTCTCTTATTTCTCCTTCACGAACTTTAAGTTCAGATTTTGTTTTATCTAATTCAAATTGTAAATTTTCTTTTTCCTTTCTCATTTTACTAACAATTTCAGTTAATTGTTCAATAATTTCGTCACGTTCCGGGAGCAAGGCCTTAAGGTCCCGGACCTCATGACTACGCTACTTAAGTTGAGCTTGAGCTTCATCTAATTCAATTTGGGCACGATCCCTTTCAGACTCTATGCCTTTAATCCTTTTATTTAAGGCTTCCAGCGTAACCTCACGTTGTCGTATTTCTTCCTTTAAACCATTTATGGTAAAGGCTTCAACGGCAGAGGCACGAACCTCGCGAGACGCGGTTTGATCTCTTTGACTTCGATTCTTTTTTTTCGTAAGATAAGTCTTTAAAGTTGAAGAAAAATCTTTTTCTCTCTCCGGTTTAGGAGGAATATTTGATATACCTTCATCTTGTGTACGAAAGAAACCGAAGCTATGTCTGCTTTGTCGGCCTCCAGGGTTCCGGCTCTTGAGTTGCAAGAACTTCAACGTTTTCATACTTTCATGGGGAAATATGGCGTTATTTCTGTAAAAAAGTATATCTTTTTATTAATTTTTTTTTGTGAATAACGCGGTTAAATGTTGTGCAATATTAGTTGCGTTAATGTTAGTTTGTTTTGATTCCCAAAAGGTTACGAAATTTATCATTCAACATATAGAACTCTTTAAAAAATAAGTGACCACTATAATATTTTCAATGTTCATTATATGTACATTAATGTACTACACAAATAATTAAATTCATTAAAAATTTTTTTATACGTACGTATAATTAAGTTTTTTTTTTTTTTTTATAATTATAATATATGCATATTTAAGATATAGTTTTAAACGTCCCGATGATCAAGTGAAACCATAAGTAATAAATTTTATGGAATCATTTTTTTTTTTTATTTATTTATTTTAATTATAATACCATAATAAGAATTTTTTTATTAATTATGTTGTGTTGAAATTAAATAAGTTGACCTAAGCAGGCTAAAGACGCATATAGGTAACAAACTTTAGAGTATTATTATAAGTGGTGTTTTTAGTTTACGCAACTTGAAAGTTTTGAAAGTCATTTGCCATTTTTGTATAACTTTTATAATTTTTTATTTAACCAACAATAATTAAAATGTAACTCATTTTTTCTAAATTTATAAATTAGAAAATTATTACGTACACAACTTTTTCCTGATCATCATCAAAAAAAAAATTAGTTATCGTTTATCGGTAATTTTTATTTTAACAACCTTTGTATTCCTACTCTGGTTTGAAAAGGATATTAAGAAGATTAATTAACAACAGATTTTCTTAAATCTCTTGTCTTTTTTTGGTCACGACATTCTTCTTTTTTCTATTTTATGATAAATTTTTTACTTTCTAATACAGTAATAATATACGTAGTACATATGTATTATTAATAACGATGATCAAAATCTTTTTTTTCTTATACGTATGCAAGTATCTTTTCGTTGCTTATTTCAATTTATTATTTTATTATGTAAGGTGAAATATCAAACTTGAACAATAGCTAAACCTTTCGTAAAAATCAATGATACCTGCATCCAATTCTAAGCACCTGCATAAATCTTTTCAAATAAAATTATAACCATTATTAAGTACATTATTAGTATAGTAAAGAATGCAAGTTTTTTTTTTCAGTTTATTAACTAAAATTTATGTTATAATTTTATCCGAGATTTATGTTTAACTTTATCCGAGGCTTATCTGGAAATCTATCCTTTTGAGTTAAATTATTATAACCGAGCTTATTTTCTTTAACTAAACAAACTCTTTTTTTTTTTTTTTTTTTTTGTAATTTAAACCAACACTAATCAAGGAGTGAAATGTATATTTAGATTCAATATCAAAAAAGAAAATTTTGAAGAACCATATGATTATACATCTTGGTACTCTCATCGGAGATAGGAAAAAAATTTTTCTTGATGCGATGCAACAAACCTGCTTTTTTTTTATTCTGAAAAGTTTAGACGAATTATATGAGACTTAGCATACAAACACCAAATTCTGAAAAATCCTCAGCATATATATTGTGACTTAAATTTCTAATTAATATAATTTGATTCTTAAATAATGTCAACCTGTTTTTATCCTGTTGTTTTTGTATTTGCGTCATTATACTTTATTTATACGTATCGATATATGCTAGTCCATCATTACCCAGTTCTTTTTTTAACATTTCACGTCAAAAATTTTCACACATTAATAAACATAAATGTCTCATAAATATATATATATATATATATATATATATATATATATGTCGCTTTGCAATATAGAACGCTTCGATATAAATAAATTATAATTGGAAAACGAAACGAAACACTAATCTTAGTTCATTTTCAATGCATGTAAATAAAAAGGAGATCTAATACCAAAAATAATCGACGATCCTGTTCCAATTATATATTACAAACTCATTTAACGTTAACCAATATTCAGAAGTAATCTGTTGATCTTTTTTAACAATTTTTTTACTATATTTATTATAGGGGTGCCGAAAGATCACCAACGCTCTGTATATCGAGAATATCTCGAAATTTTGTTTAGAAGATGTAGATTTTCATCAAATAGATTATTTAAGCTTAACTTATCTGTTATGTACTGTAGGTGAGTACGTACTTATTATTTGTTTTTATTATATACTATCACCTATATATTTCAATAGATCCACGTGACATGGAAATTCAATTTATCACTTGAACTACTTTATTTATTTTCAGTTTTTCACTCAACTTTACCACGTTCCGCCCGCTGTAGAAATATGTATTTGTAGGGACCTGTACATTTTTGCGTGCATATCTAATCATAACAAAATTTATTTTCTTATACTATATAAATTTATAAAAGTTGATTTAAAAAATTGAAATAACTTATCAAACATACAGGATATTATTTGACTAATAATATTTTCACTGTATAGTGATGGTTGATTTTTCTCTAAGTGCATCTTACAATACGAAAATTCTCTATAAATGCAAGACCCTTTCTGGTCCCACGTATATAATTTTATATTTATTTGACTCCTTCTAAATGTAACTTTTCATTAAATACAAGTTTCACTTAAAAATCTGATTGTATTTTCTCAATTTTAACTTATTAAATTGACTAATTAACATTTATTATCGGTAATTTATTTAATTTGAAAATTTTTATTTCATCAACATGTTTACCAATAAATGTTTATTGAAATTTATTTTATCGACAATTACAATCATTTTATCGACAATTTTATCGACATTTTAATTCAGTTAATAAAATATGATTGGTTTATTTTTTATATTTTATTTCTGCTTTATATATACTGTAAATTGTCGATTAATAAACTTTAATTTGAAGATTACGGCCTAGGTTAGGTGATTTTAAATTTAAAAATTTATTATATATATATATAATAATAGTAACAATCCAAATTCCGTTATATCCTATAGTTAACTGTAATTATGAACAATATTAAAGAGTAGAGCAGTATTATATAGAATAATGAAAAGCAGAGATTTGTTTATAAGCATTAGTTTTGAGATATCGAGTTTTGGTGTTTTGATAAGTTTTAATGAGTAATGATAATTATATTATATTAGTACGTAGTGATATTGATAGCTAGTATAAATTATACATAAATTTACAAGTTATTATTATCATTATTCTAAATTTGAATAAGATAACCTAAAATTAAAATAACCTAATATAAGCAAGCTTTATCAGATTGTAATTTATTTAAAAAATATAATAGAGTTAAAAATGGAGATGCAGGCGAATCGTCCCAATGATGCCGTAACTTTGCCGTAACTATATTAAACAATTATAAAAAGTTACGGCATATTTGCTGTAACTTTTTATAATTATTTAATATAGTTACGGCAAAGTTACGGCATCATTGGGACGATTCGCCTGCATCTCTAGTTAAAAAATATTAAACACATAATAAATATTAGTATAATTTTATATATTTTGCACTTTAAATTTGGCTTTATTCTTGTATATGAAGTTCTTCTATAAATAGTTTAAATTTGCACTAATCAAGATAATGCTATTTAGTATAATAATTGTCACGGCTGAAGCTAGAAATAGCTAATGCTAGAAATTAGGGGTCTTGATTTAAAACTATAAATCTTGCAATCCAACTATACCTTTTTGTTATAAATTCTAGCTCTAAATTCTAAAAAAAAATTGTAGAAAATGCATCTCAAAATTTTTTGTAAATTTTATATTAAAGTATTTAAAATTTCCAGTATTAGTTATTACTAGCTTCAGCTGTATTAATAGCTAATTTATTGACAAATACTTGATGATTATTAATTATAATAAATATTACCAAATGATTGCTATTTAGTACAATTATTAATTATAATAAATATTACAAAATGATTGCTATTTAGTACAATTACTAATACTATTTGATAAATAATTAGTATTGCTAATTAGCAATAAATTAATAGTTATATAACTACTAATTTATTGCAAATTTAATACTAATTAGTAATACTAATTGTTTATTAAATAATATAGCTAAGTAGTAGCAATTATACTAAATAGTAATTATTTAAGAGTAGAGAATACATAGATTATCTTTTATATGAAATTGATTGCATATTTTTTTTTTATATAGTGACCAAAATTTTGCTTTTAATAAAACTTTTTAATTTTAATTAAAATTTATAAATTTTTTTTATTATATATAATTTAAAATAATATTTTTCTTGTTATAAAATTTTAAAGTCTATTTGATTTAAAAAAAAATTATATTTGTATATATCTTAAAAAAACTTAGGTTAACTCAAAAAAACTTAGATAGTACAAAACTACTCTATTCTGATTAGCTAATTTATATAAATCTATAATGTAAATTTTATAATAAAAAATAACATACAATCTTAAAATTAGTATATTTTAAATCAATTTTAATAAATTTATTACTGTTAGAATTACAAGAATATGCTCTACAACTTAGAAGGATAAAAATATTTATTTAAGAAAATATTTTGTAATATTAAAAAATAAAACAAATTATTATTAAGTTTATATATAATTTTAAAGTAGTACAGTACCTCCTACTCTTAACAATATTTATTATAATTAATTATTAATTAATTATTAATAAATTAGCTATTAATTATTATACTAAATAGCTTAACTAATATATAATTTATTTATAATTGTAGTATTGTATATGAATATTGTTCTATTAAAATTGTATAAATACAGAAAGTTTTAAATATTGTCTTATATTCTAGACAATATATTATATTTGTAATAATTGTTTTATATTATATAGTTTATTAAATAATTTGAATAGTATTAGTAAAAAAATAGCAAATAAGCTACAAATCTGATACCTAATTTTAAACTAATTATTATCTGATTGCTATTTAATTTATATAAAATTTTAGTATACTAAAATTTTGTATAAATTAAATAGCAATTAAATAGTAATTAGTTTAAAATTAGGTATCTAATTTATAGCCTATTTGCTATCTTTTTTTTTTTTTTTTTTATACTTAGGCAATCTTGCTCTTCATTTTATTAGGAGAAATATTAAAAATATTTAGACAGGTACATAATAAAAGAAAAAAACTATTCTACTTTTAAAACTGCCCTCCTTGTTACAATTCTGAACTCACTTGGCTGTCTAAAAGATGCCCAAGTGCAATCTGCTGTAGTAGCATTTTCCTCCTGAGACTAAACATATGTTTAAACATACCCGTTTAGACTCTATCAAAAGAAGGCTACTACCAGCCTAAGCCTATTTGCTATCTTTTTACTAGTATAGCTAATATAGTTATTCTTATTATAATTTTAATTATTAACAACTTATTTTGTAGATTATTTAAACCAAAAATTAAGCTAAAGGTTATAATATAGAAAATACAGTAAATAAACTACTAAATATAGTTTGAAAGATTAAGACAAAAGATTCAAATATAAGAAATATATATACATAAAAAAAAGAAGCCAAGCTAACTAATATACAAGAAGAAAAATAGAAAAAACTTCTTAAAAAAATTTTTTTGTTCAAAAGAATATACTTTTTAGAAAATAACAAAAACTCTAAAAAACAGACAAAATAATAATCATTATTAAAACTTAATTAAAATTAGAATAAATTAGAAAGTATAGAAAATAAATCATATATTATTACAAATAAATAAATATATTAATTCAAAACTAGACAACTACTTCTAGAAAGCTATAAAAAAATATAATAAATATTTTGAAATTTTTACTAGAAAATATATATAATAAAGAAAATTTCAAACAGATAATAAAATAGTTTATAGAAAAATATAGCAGAGAGCTGTTTAGAGATAGAAGTATAGAGATAAAAAAAATTGAAGACTTCTTTAATAAAGCAATAGTTATCCCTTAGATTATAGGCTAATGCAAGCAAATTTGCCTGTGTTTTTGCATTTATTCAGCTCTGATTTACTTTTTTAAAATGCAAAAATATTAAAAAAATAATTATAGATAATAAAATTTGAAAAT